ATACATGTAAAAATGCTTGTTGGTTATGTTCAAATATGAATATGACATGTCTTACTGAGAAATAAAGCAACAAAATATATCTTTATCTCTCACACTCACACTTCCCAGTTTAAACTTAACATTTGTGTGGTAGATTTTTATTTTTAGCTTTCCCTTCATCCTTTATGGTGATCACGCACCTCTGATTAACATATATACATCATGCTATTCCCTTTCATGGCAAGCAGAATTCTTCACAGTGCAGAAAAGGAATAAGAACTAATAAGCCACAGGAATTAAGGCATAAGGTAAGAAATGTACAAGAAATATTCATAAATCTAGTTTACACTATCATTTGCTACACCTTGACATAGATTCCTTACAACAGACCACTGACTATCCACTATTTTCTACCAGTCTTAAAATGTTGTCTATCCATCTTCTCATCTTGAATAAACACTGTCCTAAAGTACATAAATTCATCTACTTGCTTTAACTTTTCACCATTTATGCATAACATATATAGTCAGTCATTCCAGTTTCCTGTCAGATACAACTGATAATCTGAAACATTAACTTCTGAGCTATACTCTTCATTGCCTCATATAATCTATCTTAAATTTGCTGCAATTTGTTTGGGCGTCATCTGCATACACAAATGCTGCACGGAGACATTCACATTCCCAACTAACATAATTCTAACGTCACCACAAGCATTCCATTATGTATTTATCCATAAATACGTAAATCACACATATGTCTATCACACGTATTATATCCTGCTCAATGCTGAGCTATTTCCAAAGCATTCTATTTATTCTGGGACACGTTTACTATCATCATATACTGCTTTTATTCACTTTTCATTCGTTTTCTCTGACACAATGTTCTTTCTCATATTCCTATGTTTCTGAATAACCTCCTAGAGAGTGAAGGTCTGGTGTGCATATTCCTTGCCCAAAAGATGTCACAGCTTTCCAGTGATATGAAACATTTAACAGAGTATCCTATAACTATATTAAGTCAATTGTATGGTACTGCATGGTACATTTTAATTCATTTGATTAGGCTTGCTTTATGATTTGGAATTTCTCTTTCATCCTTCCCCATTGCGGATACAAGTGAACAGCAAGGTACAGATAGTTTGAAATAAATTAATTTGCAGGGCATCCATTCTATATGTCTTACCATTTGTGCCCAAGAACACACCATGTGGGTCTGCAATTTTGAAATACTCTGTATTGGCACTTTGTAAAAGAGTAGAGAAAACTTTGTACAGTAATAGCATGTAATAAAATGTCTATATGGAAAGGCCACCATTATAATGCAGTTTCAAGTAGGTTTTATGCTGCTTGTTCATTAGAGGAGGACTTAATTTTTTTTTATTTATTTATTTATACAGACTGGCAGATTAATGGCTCCAGATCACCTAACAGGTCTATGGAAGAGCTGGGAGTAAAGTCAAAGTTCACATCCAGGTACAAATAAATTTCACTGAATCACACTGAATCCACAAGCGTCAACATTCAAATATAGAAGCTCCATGGGAACTTAAGGGAGATTTTCCAATTTTTCTTTTCCAAATTTATTTTTCTTTTGTTTATGCATGTCTAAATGTCCACATTATTTTCTCATTCCAGGATAACTTACCACCATTCTGTTGGCCATCTCATCACAGCATCTGGTTTCACACCTCCCTGCAAAGTGAATGAGAAAATGAGCCTGATTTTGATGTGCTGGTGAATTACAAAGAAGTTCTAGAATGGGAGTTTTCTTTAACTTTTACCTCCCACCTCCCAAATAGATGCAATGCATCTAACCTTAGGCTTCAGAATATTTTTTAACAGTAAAAGCACTGAACCTGTCTCTCTTCCTCTAATATTCGGCTAATGAAACTTTGTGTGTGAATTAGCTTACATTCCCATAGAGCATCTTGAATAATTGAATGTTGACACTATAATGGTTTAAAACATTGGTGAGCTGAACATTGATGAACATGTATCTTTACTAGGCAACACAGTAGACCCTTTCAATGCATGAACATGGACACAGTAAATGATGAGAGTAAATTATTACTTACATAAAAACATAAAAAACCCTATTAAAATAGTAAAGAGGTAGAGATATACAGATATAGCTGTGGTATTTCTGCATTTCTATAAATGCATCATGAAGAACAGATAGGTTATTAAAAGGAGAAATCTACAGCTGATTTGCAGCAGTGGATTGTTCTGTCATCATTTGAATTAGTCAACCCCCTGCCCAAAAGGGCAAGACTTTCAAGCAAAATGGTCAAAGTTTTTGGAGTTCTGTTTATAACATAATTTTCCAGGTCCCCCTTTTTAAAGTTCCTTTTATTATTGTGATATTGGTTGAAATTATATTATTTCACTAACTGTTTTTCTTTTAAATGTTAGTTCACAACTCAATCAGGATTCAAAAAAAGTCAGTGTTGGACTTACAATGCTAATTTATTTCTATGGTTCCATTATCTTCTGTTTAATCCAGTAATATAATAAAAATATATAAAACTGTAGTTAGTAACAAAATATTACAATTGTATTCCCCAAAAAATATATGTTCTATTTTATGAATTTTCCATGTATTACCAGATATAAAATAATAACTATCATGGGGCTTCAAAGCAACAATCTTTCTAATTGATGAAAAAAATCCACATAAAAACATAAATAGCATGCATCAACAAACAAACAAAGGATTCCCCAAGCAGAAATATTTAAATAAGAAAATACCACCATAATTCAACCCCTTCTTCCCAATATATAACAAACAGAAATAATAATGAACTAAAATACCTATTCTTCTCTGTTTATTGCTTGGCATGTTGCCTCACCAAAATGCAGTCTTGCCTTTGAAAAAAGAAAATTTAGAACTATTTTTCAAAATGCGATATCTGACAATTCTTCATCTTGAAGAACTGATTACGGTGAAATATATTTTATAGATAGAAATCTAGTGGGCTGTGATTATTTTAACAAAGCTGTATCTATCTGTTCCATTTCCATACAGTTTATATTAAGAAGTTGTAAATGCCTTACTGAATAATCAGCATAATAATTTATGATAGACTGCCATTTCAATTTTAGAATCTGTCCATTATACTTAATTTTATGTCTCTCTGAATTTTCTGAAGACAAATATTAGAGAAATTAATAACTTTAATAATAATATTCTTCAGTAATAGTAAATCCACCTTTTTAACACATTTACATCCAAACTCAGTTTTTAAGTTAATAGCAATAAATTTAACATTAAAATTTAGAATGAGTTGCTGTGGTGTTGAAATGAAAATATTATAAAACAGCTAAACAGGTCAATTAAATTTTGAACCTGACCTGAAAAACTTCAAATTTCAAATATATCCCTTTTTATTAGAACTTCTACTCTGATTATACATTATTTTTCATATTAATAAACATAAGCATTCTTAAAACCTCCTCACAAAACAGGACAGATTAGGCAAATTCCATCTATATCCTCCATGTTAGTCTTGCATTTTTAAGTAATAATATTTGTTACAATAGCAGTTATAAAATATGGTAAAATAAATACACGGGACAGAGGAAAAATAAATGTTTTCAAATTTGCAACTATTTATTTAGTTACATAGTTATATTATATAGTTATATTATACAAAATTTATCTTTTATCATATTGGTGATAAAAAAACCATTCATTTTTAATTGCTTGCCAGTATAAGCAGACAGACTGCACCTTAAGCATGTAAGAAGCCCTAGATTTGGAGGTAACTTAGAAAACACACCACTTAGAAAACTTCTTAGTACTTTGTCATATGCTGCAATCATGCAAATAATGCCCTTAGACAAAGATACTCATAGTGTCAGGATTAATTTTACCTATCAGGATTTTTTGTGTGGTTTCTAAATTTAATAATAATGCAAACAAATAAAATACTTTTTCTTTAAAGAAAACAAGTTTATCATTTTGATTTGCTTGGCTCAAAGTGTTTTTATTTCAGAAAAAAAAGCCCTGGTCTATTAAACAAAGTATTACTACAATCCTCTAGATCTTCAATATGAACACTTTACCAATAAAGTAATTAAATAATAAATGGTATTGTAAACTGTGACTATACAATTTTGCTTCAATATCTGTCAATTACAGTTTGAAATTTTAATATCTGACAGAACTGAAACCAACAAACACAGCAGTCCACAAAACAAATATATTTCAATAAGGCTGAACACTGCAGCATCATGCATATAAAACTGGCAAAAAACCTGAAATCTATATAATGGATTAAAATCTATATTTGGATTCTGTAACAAACAGTTACATTTTATTTATAATTTTTAATGTCTTATATCTTATTAATTGCTGTATCACAGGGATGGAAAAATGTTCAGGTTCTCTTATCACACTAATAGATTTTTATTTTCCAATATACAGAAAGCTTAATTTCAATTATTTGTTTAAAACTTATGAATACAAAACTGTATTATGAATGCCTCCCCCCCAACAAAGCCTCAGAGTATACCATATTAAAATATATGGTTTATAAGGTATGTTCCCATTTTGAATTGATTATACTGTTTTAAAATCATCATGATTCACAATTAAGTAACACAGAAAGATAGGTTTCACTTCACCACCATAAAATTATATAACTATCAATTGGAAAGGTTATACTTGATGACCAATGAGGGAACTTGTAGTATTACAGGAAAAAATTGACTGCACTTGTAGGGTGGTTCTTTGTTAATTATCAGCATCATGTTGAAGATTTATAAATCCAACAATAGTGCTTTCTGTTTTAATACAAATTGGGATGATTTGGTCAAAGTGAAACCATTTATTCAACAAAAATATTTAATCATGTTCAATTTTTCCACAAAACCAATGAAAATTAAAAATGCTTGATCTTACAAGGTGTAATCCAGCCAATAGTTTTGCACAATGTATCAACAACCCACATATGAGATGTGAGCAATATAGCTTTATCACTGCAATATAACACAAAACAAAGTTCATGCCCTTACCCTTTTTTTCCAAGTCATTTAATAATTTGGACTTCTTGTGAAGAACATCACTCACTAATTTGATTTCAATATTTTGGGACAATAATTCTTCCAATTTTTCAAAAATGTGTTGTCCCTACAAGGAAAAGATTTGTTTATTCATTTATATGAAACATTTATATGGTCATCCATCTTAAACCAAACTCTGGGTGGCTCACAACCCAAAACTAAAAACAATATATGAACAATGAAATAAAAATCTTAAAACAAAAAAGACTTGGCACCACAGCTAAACCTTCCCACGCAGCCCACAACAAGTTTGTTCCATGTTAGCTTCACCTTATCCAGTGCTTGGGGGAAAAGCCAGCTCTTAAGTACTTTTCGAAAGGTTAAAAGATGGGGGCCTGCCAGACATCAGGGGAAAAGGTGTTCCATAGGGCAGGAGCTGACACAGAAAGGGCACACTTCCTAGCTCCCATAACATGGCAGCATTTAAGGGAAAGGACCAGGAGCAGGCCTATCCTATCTGATCTAGTGGGATGTCTTTAGGGATTACATTACATATAAAATCAATGTGTTTGTGGAACATGGGGAGCTTAAAATGATTTAAAATGAACAATTGACTGCAGACGGATTTAGTTTTCAGTGGTTTTCATATGCACAGTTAAGAGAGAGACTTAATATACATTTAAAAAGTAATTGGAATTGAAAAACATTAAATGAAATTTGAAACTGAATTGTGTAGAAATGATGAACATATGATTGCTAAAAATGTATAAACTTTTGCTTTGAAATGGAAGAAAAACATGTTAAACAGTGCATGATAAAATGGGCCAAGAATTTTGGTTATAATATACAGCTGGACAAGGGGAGAGAATGTGGACAAAAGGACTGAAATTCACATTGTGCTACAATTTAAGAGAGATTTTTTACTAAATTATGTACCATTGGTATATGACACCAAAAAAATTAGCAAAAATGTATAAAGGTACTTCTAATCAGTGTTGGAAATGTGGGAAACATGAAGGGTCATTTTACCATGCATGGTGGTCTTGCAAAAAGGATATGTATGTATGTATGTATGTATGCATGTATGTATATATTGGATACAAATAAATACAATGATGTAAAGAATTCTAAAGACTAACATTCAGATGAAACCAGAACTGTTTTTACTGGGACGTATGGATAACCAATTAGAAAAGACTTATGGAAGATTAGTTTTGCATATGGTGACTGCAGTAAGGTTATTGTATGCATGAAGATGGAAAAACATTGATTGAAATACCCACAATGGAAGAATGGATTGTAAAGATGATGGAATTCATGGAAATGGCAAAACTGACCTGTCTAATCAGGGATAAAGTACTTTTATTAAAGACTGGAAACCTCTTGTGGACTTTTTGCTGAAAATGGAAAAATGAGCTGGCAATTTATGGATTTAATGATTGAAAAGGGTTGATTATGGGAAGAAGAAAATAATGATGTAATTTTAATGAGGGAGGAAAGAGGATAAGTTTGTAACTGCTGTAAAGAAGATTATATATCTTTTCTTATCTTCTATTTGTATTCCCTTTCACATTTTTCTTACTTTTTCACTTCACATCACTCTTTTTTCTTTTTCTTTTCTTTAATTTTCCTTTATATTCCATTTTATTTTTTATCTTTTAAAAAATTCTTAATAAAAATATTTTTTTAAAAAATAAATGTTGTGTCCATGTGTGTGTGTGGATAATATACTGTATTATATTATATGATAACGCTTTTATAAAACTTAAAACTATCTCCTGGAAGAAAGATTTGAAGCTTCCAAGTCATGAAGATAATAACAAGCAGAATGATATCTTATTCCCCTTAAATAAGAACATTTTGCGAGATGTCTAATTTTAAGCCAAAAAGTTAACATGATTGGAATCCTTTATACTATCACAAAGATCAGTGAGCAATTTTGAAAAGCAGTTAGATGCTAAATTTTGAAGCATCCTTGGCATGGAGACTGCAAACTATATTACTTCTAAAATTCATTTTATGTACTCTGGCTTTTTAAAAGGATGACAAGGTTGCAAGATAGGAAAATATTGCAAGCTTCTGACAATATTAAGTTGCTAATCAGTATTTTAGAAATGCACTCACAGAAACTTGAATTTGGTATGGTCACTCTACTGAATGCAGAAAAAGCCTTTGGTATGACATAGATTACATTTTTTGAGCATGTCTGGAAGTTGTTAAGGTCTGGGTGGGAAGGAGCACGCTTATTCCCAACAAAACACAGCGGCTTTGGGTTTGGAAGCCATCTGATTCTAGAGAAATACTGTCTTCACTTCTGGTCATACACCACGTACACATACACACATGTGGAACTGGCTTGTAATGTTTTCTAAGCATGTTGGTGATGGAGAGAGAGGCTACTTAAATGTAAGGTGCTGCAGGGCCCTACGTACTCCCTGGACTCACAGATCCCACTTGATGAGCAGGTGACAGCTGAGGCCAGGAATTTCATCTGTTGTACCAGTTACAATCCACTCTGGAACAGCAGGCTCTATTCACAGGCACTCATGCCTCAGCCACCTCTCGAATGGAATACAGCTATGTGGTCTATGTGGGTCTGTCCTGGAAGTATATTCACAAGCTGAAAATGGTTCAGAATGTAGCTGCCTGTGTAGTTAAGGGTGCTTCCCAAACCATCCATATAACAGTACTACTTCAAGAGCAGTACTCCCAGGTATAATTCAAGGTACTGTCTTTCACCTTTAAAGACAGTTCAGAACCTGGAAATCTATAGGATTGCTTTCTCCCAACATTATCTGTCCATACCGTAAAATCCAGTAGGGTGGACTCACTCTGTGCTCCTATGCTCAGGGACAGTCATTGTGAGGAAGCACAGAGCAGAGAGATGAGTCTTCTCAGGTGCTGCTCCCTGCTATAGAACAGGATTCCCTGGACAGTTGAGTGACCCTCTCCCTCCTGTTCTTATGAAGTCTATTCCATTAGGTGTAGGGGGTTGAAACAGTATGATCTGTTTCCTCTTGCAATAGAAACTATTTTTTTGTTTGGTGAATGGATTGATTTATTGAATGGAGTATATCCCCAGGCCACATGCTGCTATATATAGTTATTTTTTATGAAGTGTAGTTGCTGTTAATTTATTGTAACGTATATAGACAGTCCTCTACTTACGAACAGATTATGTTCCAAGAGGCTATTCATAAGTCCATTTTGTTTGTAAGTCCAACCAAGTATAAAATGCTCAGCCTCCCAACATGCAACAGTGCTGCCAAATGTACGTATGCGGTACGCCATAAACTAACCTTTTCCCACCTTCTGGGACCTTCTAGGGTGGAGTTGAAGATAGGTTTGTTCATATCAGCAAAAGTTCATAGCTCGAAAGTTCGTAAGTAGAGGACTGTCTGTATTGCATATTTTTAACATAATTTACAATAGATGGGATTTATGCCTCTCAAGAGTTGGCTTCAGTTGGAACAGATAAGAAGTCCAGTATATACATATACATACATGTTTTATTTATTTGGTTTTTATTACTTGGATTAAAACATATCTTAAACTCTCAGCTAGAATCTTTACAAATGGAATTATGTCTTTGCCTATTAGGATGCTTTATGAAGTACAGTGGTACCTCGGGTCACGAACGCTTCTGTTCATGACCAATTTGGGTCACGAACAGCTCCGTTCGCAAAATTTTGCCTCCGTTCGCGAACACCGGATCAGCTTCAGTTGGAACAGATAAGAAGTCCAGTATATACATATACATACATGTTTTATTTATTTGGTTTTTATTACTTGTATTAAAACATATCTTAAACTCTCAGCTAGAATCTTTACAAATGGAATTATGTCTTTGCCTATTAGGATGCTTTATGAAGTACAGTGGTACCTCGGGTCACGAACGCTTCTGTTCATGACCAATTTGGGTCACGAACAGCTCCGTTCGCAAAATTTTGCCTCCGTTCGCGAACACCGGATCAGGTGACGAACAGGATCCGCAGCCATTTTCCCTGCTGACACACATGGTCATGGCTTCCTGTAGGGAGGGGGACTCTCTCTCCAAGCAAGAACCGCCTCCCCACCCGCCTTCCTGTCCTCCACACCAGAAGCCGTGTCGAGCAAGGTTAGTGTTCTCTCTCTTCGTACTGTACTTTGTGTCATATTTTTGGGGTTTTAAAAAAAAATACATATGGTTCAGAACGGATTAACCATAATTACATTGAACCTTATGGGAAAATTTGATTCAGGTCGTGACCAATTCGGGT